GTGTGTGTGTGTGTGTGTGTGTGTGTGTGTGTGTGTGTGTGTGTGTGTGTGCATGCGCGCGCGCCTTGTGTGACACCCTGCCCTCTGGAAACCACAAGATAATGGGTGAACCTCTTCCCAGCTACATGTCTCTGTCATACATATCGGCACTTGGCAAGATTTGTCTGCTAGCACAGACCTGAAATACATTCTGACCTTCCCCACCTCTCTCTTGCATTCCTTGTATTCTAGTCCCCATTCTGTTTCTGTGATAAATGCCGTGACCGAAAGCCGTTTACACAGTGGAAAGATTTATTTGGCTCACATTTCCTCATCACGGTCCATCGTTGGGGGAAATCAGGGAAGGAGTGTACAAGCAAGAATTTGGAGCAGAAACCACGAAGGCTCACAGGCTCACCTGCCCAGGGAACAGTGTCACCCACAGTGGGCTGGGTGCTCCCATATCAGTTAACAGTCGCCCCCATTCATGGCCACAGGCCAGTCCAGTCTGGACAGTCCCTCAGTCGAGACTCCTTTTTCAGGTGACTGGACTCTAAAGTTGACAGTTAACGCTAACTGGGACACTCAACACTTGTCAACCTGACACAGGAACATGTCACTTTAAACCGTAGCCTTGTCTCAAGAGCTTGTGTTAATATCACAATATAAATATACTCCAGCTTTACAAACAAACCCAGTCTCTTAACTCTGGGACCCTGTAAAACTAAAAATAAGTTTCATATTTATTCCAAAAGGGAAGAACCAGGCCATAAAAATGATTAGATCAAAACAAAAACAAAACCCAGCAGTGACCGTCAGAAATCCCGTAGCTCGATGTCTGGCATCTGGAACTCCCTCATTGTGTAGCTTTCTGCCTCTAGCAGGCTTAGGGGGTCCCACTTGTCCAGCCCCGCCATCGGCAGCAAGCACAGCTTGTCCCGGAGTTGAAGCTGGCTCCGCTAACACCTGCTGCTCTCCTGGTGTCCGTCTCTGGTATCCCGGGGTCTCCATCACAGCTGAGGCTGCACTTTTACCAGTGGCCCCTCTGATGATTGCCCGCCGTACCAAGCTTCAGCTACTCTCCATGACAACCTCACACCTTCAAAACCAGTTCTACCTGGACAGTGCTTGCAGACTATTTGCCAAGTCCTACTGCACATGCAAAGTGTAGCCTGTCTCCCATGGGCCAGCTCTGTGTTCTCACTGTGAAGAGATTCCACTTCTTCTGCAAGAGATCACTAAGTGATCGCTGGTGCTGATCTCTCATTAATGTGTATCTCTTATTAATTAGGAAAGCTTGGCCGATAGCTTAGGCTTGTTCCTCACTAGCTCTTAAAACTTAACGCATTTATATTAATCTACATTCTATTACATGGTGTTACCTCTCTTCCGTCTTGCACCTCCTGTTTCCTTTCCATGTCCCCTGGCGTCCCCACACACCTAGATTCCTTTTTCTACTTCCCTCTCCTTGGAAAGCCTGCCTGTACCTCCTGCCTGGCCATTGGCCATTCAGCTCTTTATTAAGCCAACCACAGCACTCTATCTTCACACGGTGAACAAATACCCTACAACAAGGGGTAGAGTCAGAAGTTCAAGCCACCCTGGGTTTGTTTGTGTGTATCTAAAAACAAAGAAGAATCCACTGGGATTAGAGACGCCTTAAAGGTTAAAAGCGTCATTAACTGCTTGTAATGCCCAGCTCAGGTGCCTCCAACTCCCTATAAGCTCTGCGGGTCCAGTGCCCCCTTCTGGCCTCCAGGGGCACCTCTACTCACATGCACATTATTAAAAATGAAATAAGTGAGATGTGGTAGCACGCACCTTTTTATGTTTCTATTTTTAAATTACTTTGTGTATATGTGCATATACCTGCTTGTTTCATGTGTACCACATCCATAGAAGTGCCCGTGGAGGCCAGAAGAGGACATCAGGTCCCTAGAATTGGAGTCACAGGCAGTGGAGCTGTCCCAACGCACACTTTTAATCCAACGCTGGGGAGGCAGAGTCAGGCCTGGGCTGTATGA